TCCATTGTGGGGAAGAATATTCACACATTTTTACTTTTAATGTTGTTCTAAGCAAACATCGAGGAGCCCTGGTGGTGCAGTGGCGAAGTGCTCTGCTGCTAACCAAGAGGTTGCCGTTTGGAACCCACCAGCCACTCCCCCAGTAGAAAGATGTGGCAGTCTGCTTCAGTAAAGTTTTCCAGCTTTGGAAACCCTGTGGGACAGTTCTACCCTGTCCTATAGGGTCACTGTGAGTCGGAACAGACTCGACAGCACCTAACAACAAACAAACATCTCCATTCTAAAGTATGAACCATGACTTCATAGAACTCTGAAAACATCCTGTCGTGTTACCAGACAAAGGGGATGATAAAAAGATCAAATGCAGGGCGTGGAGTATACAGTTTACACACCTGTTATCCAAAGTACATCACCAAGGGGCCCCTGGACCTTTGGGCTTCTCCTCTTTAGCCTGCACTGAACCCTGCAATGCAATCTAGGTCTGTTAGCAGAAACTGCATCTAAGTAACTTGCCTCTTGCTCCTGTGGTGATAAAACCTCATTGGTTCCCTTTCACCAGAATAACAATGTCTCTTTCTGTTTACTGTATCCTGCACAGCTGTTTTCATACCCAGAAAGATTGTGGGTCAGGACACATCTCCTTTGTGACTGATGACACATTTCACTCTGCTGCCTTTTTTGATACCAAGTATAGAAACTGTGTATTTACTCCTGTCTCAGCTTTTGTAAGACTGTAGCACTATGCCGTTAGTTGTGTTCCTTTCAACTTACGCAAATGCTGAGTATTTAGTCGTCTGTGACCTATGCAAGTCTTAGAGTTTAAGATTCATACTTACTCAGTGAAAACAAGAACTTTGGCTGCGTTCTGACTGTTATGACATGTAGCATTTTGTAGCTGATGTTTCAGCTCTGGGACTTTAGCCATATTTACCCAGCAGACTTTTATAAGGTTTAAAATAAAGGCAATTTCATTATATAGAAAATGCCTTATTTGAGTATTTATTCATTTATTCATTCATTCATACACTCGTCTGGGAGAGGTATTCAGCAGTTACCAAAGTATAGGACATCCATGCCTTCACGGAGGTTACATTTTATTGCACCTGAGAACCACATGAACTTATTTTAAAATTTGCTCTTCCTGTGTTTTTAAATGAAGCTGCTTTGCTTATTAGAAAATCATTTGATCAGGTAGTGAGCAACCTCATAAGTTACTAGAGAATAACGTTTTGCCTGTTAAATTTTTTAAAATCTCAGGCAATTTCTCCTCTCCTGCAAGCCCTGCTTTTACCATGAAATATTTACAAACCTCTGCAACACGTGGTAGATACGCATCATTGATGGCTTTGGGCTCTTATTGCTCACCTCTGTAACACACGGTAGATACACATCATTGATGGCTTTGGGCTCTTGTTGCTCACCTCTGTAACACATGGTAGATACGCATCATTGACGGCTTTGGGCTCTTATTGCTCACCTCTGTAACACGTGGTAGATACGCATCATTGACGGCTTTGGGCTCTTGTTGCTCACCTCTGTAACACATGGTAGATACGCATCATTGACGGCTTTGGGCTCTTGCTGCTCACTGTGTAACACATGGTAGATAAGCATCATTGACGGCTTTGGGCTCTTGTTGCTCACCTGTGTAACACATGGTAGACACGCATCATTGATGGCTTTGGGCTCTTATTGCTCACCTCTGTAACACATGGTAGACACGCATCATTGATGGCTTTGGGCTCTTATTGCTCACCTCCGTAACACATGGTAGACATGCATCGTTGATGGCTTTGGGCTCTTATTGCTCACCTCTGTAACACATGGTAGA